CAGTTGCCGTTATCGTGTGCTCGTAGAGCACTTTTAAGTTGGCAGTGAAAACGTTCACTTAACCATTTGGTGCTGGGTGATAGACGGATATGCCTATGAGTATGCATTCCGTACCAAGCAGCCGGGTCAGCGAGGAGAATCGTTAATAGGGTAAAATTTCTCGAACAAAGCGTGGGATTTACCGTCACGCGAATAAAAAGTGACAAGGATTCGGTACACATACATGGGAGTCTATTATATTAATACTATACTTGTCGTTATCTGTCATGCCGAGTATATTATATATTAAAAGATAATATGAAAATATACGACAGACGTGGATAGATGAACAATAGACTCACCAAATTGGCTTCTTTGGAAGGTTCGACCAGAGGTTGAGGCGTGTTCCAGAATTCGGGTCAACAGTTGTAGAGTGGTGACGAGTGAGGATTGACTATGAACACCGCTACCAAGAAACTCGTGCCAAATGACTCCATAAAATCCCCGAGAAGCCAAATATCAGAAGGCAGTTAGTGGACCAAATCGAGATATATTTGCTGGCGATCTCGTGGTATCGAAAGGATACCGAGATCGTGTCAGGATACAAGCTTGGTTACAGAACGTAACCGAATTCATGCAAAGTCACAGTCAAATGGATGCTTTTTAGCATAGTTAAACAAAAGCATATTAAAACAGTCACTGGTACAATTGGTTATAATAATAATTGTTTTCAATAAACCAATCGTGTTTTCGTGATAAAAGTGAGTCACTACAAATCTAAACATATCAACTATCGTCATAGGTGAATATATCGATATTTGCCACAAAATATTTGAAATCTAACGTTCTATCTACATTCTTCATCTTTGTATACGATTCTTTAATCGATTTTAATTCTAGTGCTACTCCACATTATTAATGGATGGCATTCGGCCAATGCAGTACCATTTTAACTTCGCCTGAATAATGGCGTGCTATGATACAAGCAAATATAATGAAAATAACGATTTATAATAATATGCAAGATTACATGATAAGAAAAATGTAATCTGAGATGCATCATATTACTGCGTAAGTGAATGCAATATTTTTTGTGTTTTGAACATGGCACTTCATGAATCGCCGAATTTCTCATATAAAATGATGACATACAAGTAAAGTTTATGGTGTTAATGATTGAATTTTTTATTAACTGATCAGCTGGGCTATCAAGATTTTATGGATGTTAGTAATTAGAGATTTAGTTCCAGATAATTTGATATATGGTAAAATACTTTTAATCTTTTTATTAACTGCTGGACACACTTCGAAAATACTCATTATTGATATCATCTTGACAAACTCAGGAAGATCATATTCACCATTAAAATACATATAATGTTAAATAATAATCCTGGAACTTATTTCTCCAAAATAATCCAAGGTATTTCTAGTATTTTAGAAAAATGGGTGATACGCTATGCACGTTTTTACTCATCATGAACTTATTACCATTTTCAATTCTCCATATAACAAGCTATTAAGTTCGTTTGTTTCAGGTCTTGTTTCTAACCATCACACTCATTTTATGTATATTGATTGGAAGCACTAGACGGACGTTTCTTCCTATTATTTACGTAAACTAATAAAGTTTACTGTATTTATTAGTGTGACTACGCGATCCATAAATTTTTTGTTTAAGCGCGACAGATTTTTATATTTGTATGCCCTATTTTGATAAGCGAGTCATAATTATCTCCAGACATAGCTATCGGCTATCGTTAACGGCACAATACGTTGTAATTATTTTCGCTATTCCAAAAGTAGCTCATTTTCTTTCCAAACATAGAAGTGCGCTAAAATATCCGCGAACACCCCACGCGTTGAGCTTCGTAACCAATATATATATTATCTTCCATACGCCTGTTACTCCTCGTGAAGGAACATAGGCCGCTCACCAGAGTTCTCCATCCAACCCTCTCCTTCCAGTTGTTATTCATCCTTTTCATATCTGCTTCTGTTTCCCGACGCAATGTGTTCTTTGACCTTTTTCTTTTCCACTTCCCTCCAGGATTCCAAGTTAGGGCTTGCCTCGTGATGTTGTCTGATGATTTGCGTAATCTTTATCCTATCCATTTCCATCGTCTTTTCCTGATTTCTTCGTCAGCAGGAAGCTAAACCCACCCAACATCGAAGCAGCACCCACCGACCTCCCAGTCGATGTTGGTACACCAACAATCGAAGAGATTAGCATGGCCATCAAACAAATCAAGAGCGGCAAAGCAACAGGATCAGACAACATTCCAGCAGAGGTAACTGTAAAGATACTCCACATTCTCTTCATCATGATTTGGGATAAAGAACAATTACTAACAGACTGGAAAGAAGGACACCTGATCAAAATAACAATGAAAAGCGCTCTCACCAACTGTGATAACTAGAAGGGCATCACTCTTCTCTCAATACCCGGAGTCTTCAACAGAGTATTGTTAAACAGGATGAAGGACTCCGTAGACGAACAAATCCGAGACCAACAGGCAATATTCCGTAAGAATCGATCATGTACAGACCAAATCACAACACTACAGATTATTGTGGGACAATCAGTCGGATGGATCTCATCACTCTACATCAACTTCATTGACTGTGAGAAAGCATTTGACAGCATGGACAGGACGACACTATGGAAGCTTCTTCGACACTACGGCATGCCTCAAAAGATAGTCAATATCATACAGAGTTCATATGATGGATTACACTGCAAAATCGTGCATCGAGGACAGTTGAAAAAGTCGTTCGAAGTGAAGACCGGTGTCAGGCAAGGTTGCTTACTCTCACCATTTCTAATCTCCTGGTGATCGACTGTATCATGAAGACGTCAGCATCTGTGGAGAAGCGTGGAATACAATAGACAGGTAGGGTGCAGCTGGACGATCTAGGAAAAGATGACCAGTGTAGCGGCAGTCTCAGCAGCACTAGGTCTCAATATAAAAAATGGAAAAGCAAGATTCTCCGATACAACACAGCATGAAACAATCCAATCACACTTGACGGAAATGCTATATATATATATATATATATATATATATATATATATATATATATATATATATATATATATATATATAGACCGCCAAAAGAACTGTTCTGAAGATTTTTTTGAACCTCGATTTTACACGTAATACAGTTGTGTTGTTACACATTTTGGTGAACTTTACAAAAGCAAAATATGGCCCTAATATTGTGCGGAGGAATTCCTTTACCTTCTAAAAAACAGTTGTTTTCCTAAAAGATGTAGCTTATATACAATCGTCTTATACTTCAAAACTATACTCTACACTTTCGGAAAGAGTAGTACAGAGCATTTTAGCATACAAAAATATTTCAGATCTTATTTGAAGACTGACCTGAAAAAACCGAAAGGATAATAAACCATATCAAAAACATAGTACTTTTTGAATACCTGAGTCCAGATGAAGTCAAATCAAATTCGTGCAACTATCTTCGTCATATACAAGTAAAAATGGAAGGATTATTTCTGACGTTTACAGGTTATAGTTATATCGGTATATGTTGTGGAGATTTTTAAGTTTTTTTTCTATCGAGATCATGAAGCGATTGATGTTAGACCACCATTGAAAACCTGGAAGCACCGGACGGTCGTTTCGTTCTAGTATGGGATGTGCAATGTTGAGGAGTCCCATTCCAGGTAGTGATCTAAAATCAATCGACTAATTATTGCAGTTAGAAAGACCTTAAAGAAATATAATCTGCAGAGTGCTTAAATTGTTAATGACTAAATTACAGTTTGAAAATTGATCTGGAAAATCAACTACTTTTTCTCGTTACATTCGAAATTTAGACGAGCGAAAAATTGTTTTAAATCACTGAATAAGCTGTTTTGTTAAATAATATGAACTGGGCCCCAAACGTTACACGAAATGTTTATATAAATGTTAACATATTAAACTTGTTCGTCATATATTGCTTTTTGCATAAATATAATCATACAGATTATGGATTTAATTCAAATAAAACTGAACTGAAACACTTGAATGCGTTATTTTGTATAAAATAAAAGGAGCAGTAGAAATATGACGCTAGGATTTGTTCTAATAGGTTGGCTAATAAAGTATCACCATAGGTAAGATGCACCTAGTACACCGAAAATGTGTGTAACAGTATCGAAAATCATTACATGTGACGTTACTAACGTGATTCTGTTTTTTTATTGCAGGGCAGCAGAGAGTAAATGTACTGGTAGAAGAGAAACAAGCTGTACGTAAGCCGAATCTGCAGAACGGTGGATACAACCATTTTATAATAAGTTTCCCCTTTTTGTACAGAACTGCGTCCTTTAATCTTGAAAAAATTTATCTGTTTTGCATTCTTACTTCAGAGGTATTTACCAGTCCTGACTGTTGTGTTGTTGTTTCAGATCACTCCTGCTTCCAAGTAAACGCTAATGCTACGTGCTACAGGTATGCGTGTTGACTCGTTATTAGGTAAATGAACCTATACCTGTCCAATGAGCTACATTATCGCCGTTCTAAAAGCCCAAATTGAAATCAAAATCTATCGATTAAGGGACGCGACATAATCATTTAGCTAAGCAACACGACATGTTGTTACGTTTTAGTTGTTCAAGATAAGTATTAAGAAAAATATGAACCCAAGTTTTGTGTTTGTTATTTCTTTCAGTAGTTCCAACCGCTAATAACAAGTAAATGGGATAAGTAGTTCAGTGGACTACGCGTTCGGCGTTTGAAGCTAACAGTGCTGGATTCGAGTTTCACAGTTAGTATTAACAAGGATGCTTGTATACCCAGGTGACGAGTCGCAATTAAGACGGAACGTGCGTACTGGATTCCGCTGCTAGCCAAAATCTATTTCTTCCATAAAAACTTGAGAAAAGTGGATATATCAAAGCGATTTGCTCAGAAGGAACACATGGTAATCAAGAATAATCAAAAATTCAGTAAACAATGTCAATGATTAAATAATCTAAACCTGTTTTAATAATTATAAGTCGATGGATGCTTTGTCAGACTCTAGGATGCACAAAACTAAGTGATGCTGTTACACACTTTGTCTCTTAACCATTATTCAGTGAACAACTATATCATGAAGCGAATAACAAATATATTTTTTTATTGGCACTAAAAAGAATAGATTGAAAGCAAACACGATAAAAATGGAGTTCCAACAAATTATTCAACTTCGATGACACACAAATAAGAACACTTATCCTAGGTGAAAATAATCTTGTGTAATCTAAAGGATTTTCATTAATTTTATTTAGAAAAGCAGTACTCTATCATAAAAAAAGGATATAAAAAGTTTGATATACATGTACGTAATTATTTACAAACAGTTTTTCTTGATGTAGAACGAAATGATTGTGTAATTAATACTTTAAGAAATATGATATGTATGTATTTATTAAGCATTTGTTATGAAAGTTTTCGATTACTGCTTATATGATATTTACGTGTTGGTTCAGCATTTGTTGAATGCTCTAAGGAACCAGGTTCATCAAAACTCTCTACTTGTTGACGTGTTAACACTAAATTTACAATATCACCTGCATTACGAAGTATTCGAACAGCTTCTTCATGAGTAGCATGACTTAGGTCAATTTCATTCACCTACAAAAATAAAACATTTGAAGGGGAAAATGAAAATGAATGCAGATTATTCATTAAACAGAACACCTAACATGAAAATATTGGTTATTGTAAAAATCTAGATAGTCAAATTAAGCCAGTTCTAACGGACTGACCAATACAAATTATTACTGCCACAACGTAAATGTATCATATTTTTTCTCACTTAATCATAGGTATCTAGGAATTCCTGTTCAAATATTTTATTAAAGACGATAGTATGAAAACTGGTGAGTATAACTTATATTTCAAATGTATTGTAAACTAGACTATACTGTAATGCTATAAAGATAGTAGCTTAATAAATGAAGAAGAATTTCAGCTACTTTTTTTATTCCTCTTAAAGTAAATGGAATATATACAGTCTTGTCTACACTCAGAGATTATATACTTGTCCAGTTCATAAAATAATTGCTAATATTGTAATTTATAGTGAATAAAGTAGTTTGTAGTAGGGAAGTTTTTACCGATGAAAAATTGAACAAATTAAAATGTAGTGCTTCACTTAATAAATAATAAAAGTATCTTAAATAGATTTTAAGAAATATAACGCAAATATTGTTATGTTCGAGAGAAGAATAAAACATAAGTAACTCCTGAGACATATTAATGGACTAATAATATCGATATATTCTTATGGTATAACTCCGCCTGGAGTCCCTCCGGGGGCTACTGCCGGTCTCAAGCCCGGATAAAGGAGTAGGGTTGGGCATGGGGTTAGCGTCCCCATCCCGTAGAAAACTAACTCGCTAAAAAACGCTAACCAGAAAAAATTATTCAAACCTTTTAAACTCTGCCCTGGGAGTCAGAAGGTCTTCATTTGGAAGAACTATGACGCCTCATGATGAAAGCCGGATTCCTTCGGAAGTTACGAGGCCGATGCCCCTTCTGACAACCAGAGCGATCATTTATTTAAGTACATGGAATGTTCGTACAATGTGGGACACCGGGAGAGCCTTCCAAATTGCTGCAGAAATCAAAAGATACAACCTAGAGGTACTTGGGATCAGTGAAACACATTGGACGCAAGTTGGACAACAACGACTAACTTCAGGAGAGCTTCTGTTATACTCCAGCCATGAAGAAGAAAATGCCCCACATACACAAGGCGTTGCATTGATGCTGTCCAAACAAGCGCAAAATGCGCTTATAGGATGGGAATCTCATGGACCAAGGATCATCAGAACCTTGTTCAAAACAAAAAAGGAGGGCATTACAATGAATATCATCCAATGCTATGCGCTTACCAACGACTACAATGAAGACGCTAATGATCAATTCTACAATAGGCTGCAGTCAATCGTCAAGAAGTGCCAAACAAAGGACCTGACCATCCTGATGGGAGATTTCAACGCCAAGGTTGGAACGGACAACACTGGATATGAAGACATCATGGGACGACATGGACTGGGAGAAAGAAACGAAAATGGTGAGAGATTTGCAAACCTATGTGCCTTCAATAAACTGGTCATAGGCGGCACCATATTCCCACATAAACGCATTCACAAAACCACATGGACTTGACCGGATCACACTACGCAAAACCAAATCGACCATTTCTGCATCAACGAAACGTTCAGGAGGACTATAGAGGACGTGAGAACCAAGAGAGGAACTAATATAGCATCAGATCATCACTTGCTGGTCGCCAAGATGAAATTGAAACTCAATAAGTACTGAACAACGGGGTGGATAATATCACAAAAGTTCAATACGGCTTTTCTTCGGGATGCTGACAAACTCAACAAATTCAAGATAGTCCTCAGCAATAGATTCCAAGACTTTCATGATCTACTCAATGGAGAAGGAACTACTGTGGAGAGCAACTGGAAGGGGATCAAAGAGGCAATCACTTCAACATGTCATGAGGTCCTGGGTCACAAGAAGCACCATCACAAGGAATGGATCACTGTTGATACACTGGATAAGATTCAAGAAAGAAGGAACAAGAAGGCAGCAATCAATACCAGTCGAACAAGAGCAGAAAAAGCCAAGGCACAAGCTGAATACACAGAAGTAAACAAACAAGTGAAGAGGAGCATCAGAACAGACAAACGTAAATATGGGGAAGATCTAGCAAAGACGGCGGAAAAGGCTGCAAGAGACGGGAACATGAGACAACTGTATGACATAACAAAGAAACTCTCTGGAAATCGCCGCAAACCAGAACGACCAGTGAAAAGCAAGGAAGGCGAGGTAATCACCAACATTGAAGAGCAACAAAACAGGTGGGTAGAACACTTCAAAGAACTCTTGAATCGACCAGCTCCACTGAACCCACCCAACATCGAAGCAGCACCCACGGACCTCCCAATCAACGTTGGCCCACCAACAATTGAAGAAATCAGCATGGCCATCAGACAAATCAAGAGTGGCAAAGCAGCAGGACCGGACAACATTCCAGCAGAGGCACTAAAAGCAGACGTAGCGGCAACTGCAAGGATACTCCACATTCTCTTTAATAAGATTTGGGATGAGGAACAAGTACCAAAAGACTGGAAAGAAGGACTACTGATCGAAATACCGAAGAAAGGCGATCTCAGCAACTGTGATAACTACAGGGGCATCACTCTTGTTTCAATACCGGGAAAAGTCTTCAACAGAGTATTGTTAAACAGGACGAAGTACTGCGTAGACGCCCAACTTCGTGACCAACAGGTAGGATTCCGTAAGGATCGATCATGTACAGACCAAATCGCAACTCTACGGATCATTGTGGAACAATCAATTGAATGGAATCCATCACTCTACATCAACTTCATTGACTACGAAAAGGCATTTGATAGCGTGGACAGAACAACACTATGGAAGCTTCTTCGACACTACGGCGTGCCTTAGAAGATAGTCAATATCATACAGAGTTTATATGCTGGATTACACTGCAAAATCGTGCATGGAGGACAGTTGACAAAGTCGTTCGAAGTGGAAACCGGTGTTAGGCAAGGTTGCTTACTCTCACCCTTTCTCTTTCTCCTGGTGATCGACTGGATCATGAAGACGTCAACATCTGAAGGGAAGCACGGGATACAATGGACATCTAGGATGCAGTTGACGATCTGGACTTCGCAGATGATCTGACCCTTCTATCCCAAACGCAACAACAAATGCAGTAGAAGACGAACAGTGTAGCAGCAATCTAAGAAGCAGTAGGTCTCAATATACACAAAGGGTAAAGCAAGGTTCTCCGATACAACACAGCATGAAACAATCCAATCAAAATTGACGGAGAAGATTTGGAAGATGGAAAAACCTTTACATATTTGGGTAGCACCATTGATGAACACGGTGATGGATCTGATGCAGATGTGAAAGCACGTATCGGTTAAGCGAGAGCAGAATATTTACAACTGAGGAACATCTGGAACTCAAAACAACTGTCAACCAACATCAAGATCAGGATTTTCAATACAAATATCAAGACAGTTCTACTGTCTAATGGGGCGGAAACCTGGATAACTACGAAATCCATCATCCAGAAGATACAGCTGTTTATTAACAGTTGTGTACGCAAAATGCTTCAGATCCGTTGGCCGGACACTATTAGCAACAACCAACTGTGGGAAAGAACAAGCCAGATCCCAGCGGAGGAACAGATCAGGAAGAAGCGCTGGAAGTGGATAGGACACACATTGAGGAAAGCACACAACTGCGTCACAAGACAAGCCCTCACATGGAATCCTCAAGGCCAAAGGAGGAGAGGAAGACCAAAGAACACATTACGCCGAGAAATGGAAATAGACATGAAAAAGATTAACAAGAATTGGATGGAATTAGAAAAGAAGGCCCAGGACAGAGTGGGTTGGAGAATACTGGTCGGCGGCCTATGCTCCATTGGGAGTAACAGGCGTAAGTAAAGTAAGTAAGCAATTCTTATGGTATAACTATTCAGTAATTAGATTGTGTATATTTATATTCATCTTATTATAAGCTTCATTTTGACCTATAATTTATCATTATACAATTTACTTACTAACTTACGCCTGTTACTCCTAATGGACCATAGGCCGCAGACCAGCATTCTCCAACCCACTCTGTCCTGGGTCTTCTTTTCTAGTTCCGTCCAATTCTTGTTCATTTTTATCATGTCTATTTCCATTTCCCGGTGTAATGTGTTCTTTGGTCTCCCTCTTTCTCATCGGCCTTGAGGATTCCACGTGAGGGCTTGTCTTGTGACGCAGTTGTGTGCTTTCCTCAATGTGTGTCCTATCCACTTCCAGCGCTTCTTCCTGATCTGTTCCTCCGCTGGGATCTGGCTTATTCTTTCCCACAGTTGGTTGTTGCTAATAGTGTCCGGCCAACGGATCTGAAGTATTTTGCGTACACAACTGTTAATAAACACCTGTATCTTCTGGATGATGGATTTCGTGGTTCTCCAGTTTTCCGCCCCATTAGACAGTAGAACTGTCTTGACATTTGTATTGAAAATCCTTGTCTTGGTGTTGGTTGACAGTTGTTTTGTGTTCCAGATGTTCCAGATGACGCAGTTGGGTGCTTTCCTCAATGTGTGTCCTACCCAATTCCAGCATTATCCAGTTTACTGTTCCTAAATTATGTTTAGTTTACTAACTACCATCTCCCACGTTCACAGCCATTTTTTGGCTTATTTGTGTATGAATGTTATTTTCTATTTTATGGTGTCTTGCGGTCTGTTTGGTTGATATATAAACCCAGTATGTTTGAAATAAATGATACGCATAGTGGAATCTGTATTGGTGCTCTGAACTGAAATGGACGGGCTAGGCGGACAAGGGACCAATAAGGACGCTAGGCTGCTCATACCGGTCGAACGTCATTGGTTTAGCACAATGTGAAGACTGTATAGTCACATTTCGACTAGTGGATAAACCACGTGATAACTTGCCGGACATAAAGCCATAACAAATTTATCTTTATTTTCTAATCATAACTATAAATTCAATGATAAAATTTATATTTTCTGTTCTTTTTAAATCATGCAGCAATCTAAATTGAAACTAATAAAAAACAAAGCAAAGAGTAAATCGTAGTATAGACTTACTTGCATTAGCTGATCACCAGGCATGATACGACCATCTAAATCAGCTAACCCACCTGGACTAATACGTGTAATAAATATTCCAGTTGAAGGAAAGTTATCATTTTCAACATCTTGACCACCAGCAATACTAAATCCGAGGCCATAATTTGAATGTGGTTTGCGGAGTTGAACCTAAAATTGAGAAATATATAGTTGTGTTATGGTTATGATTGTTTACTCATGTTAAAAATAAAGTACTTCTAAAAACAGTGTTTTCTGAAAGGCTACGTTGATAAACTACTATAGAAATAATCCAGCCAGGATAGACAAAGTGAATCTTTTATCAAAGGTATCCTAGTAAAGCAATAACCTTTGTTCGGTTTATAAAAAAATTTCAACACTATTTTTCTGTAAATAACTGTAGATAGCAAAGTGAAAGATAAATTGTTGTCGAAAGTGAAAGATTTGAAGATAATAGGCGATTAACTCGAAGGCAGGTAATTACTGATGAGGAATTACATACTAGGACGAAACGGCCGTGTAGTGCTTCCAGGTTTTCAAGGGTGGTTTAGCTAACTGTGAAAATACGACAATCTGCACAAATACCCTTACAGATAATTAATGTTCGATCGGTATCATGGAAAAACACAATAAAATGTATTAACATTCCTGAATATTGTTTTACACTGAATTACCTAACAATTTTACGAATTTTGATTCTACTTTTTTTCGTCACAAGTCTATTTAAGTCAAGTTACAAAGTATTTAATGGGGATTTCTGAACTTTTTGATGGACATCAAATACACCGAGTGAATCAGACAGGACTGGCCAAGTCACATGACGTAATTTTCAACAGCTTGAGTCAAATATCTGATTATACAAATCTTGAGCATTCATTACGTGAAAACATCAAGCTTATGTCTTAAAAACTATTATTAGATGAATTTTGCGATCGTTTTAGTCCATTTGTATTAGAATATAATTGCCACTTTTTACACCATGACAATTAAAATTTTATACAAATGCAAAAGTCTTTCGTCTTTGATACACAACTGTGTTAGTCTAACTTCAGATGTCTGTTGGAATACTTTTCGGCTTCATATATTCTTGATTTCATTATATCATAATATGGCTATTTTAATAAAAGTGCTTTTTTTCTAAATAAAATTGCTGAGTGAGTATGTTGTTTTTCAGATTGACTATTCATCAAAATATTCCTTCAAACACTGAGATACTGAGTTACAGCGATTATACAAATAAGAATCGTTACATCACAGTTTACCTCTGGTGTATGAGTTCACCATAAAAAGTGTATAAACTGTCTTATTAACTGATATTTGTTTTTACAAATAAAAATCTTTTCAAAACTTTCTAAATTCAATTCCCGTTTATTAGAGTTTAACTTACGAGGAGAAAAACCTTTCCAACAAAATTTATACTAAATTTTCAACTGATTGGGTTAAGTAACTTCCTTTTCCGTACTGAGTTAGAACTAAGTAATGTATTGGCCAACCAAAAGTAAAGAAAATAAAATAATAGAATATCGATTCATATAGATATGTGTTTATGAGAAACTTACTTCGTACCATATTGGAGTTGAACCACTGTCCTCTAAATCAGACATAACTTCTGGTGATCGAAAGGATGGAGAATGTTGTACAACTGTTCTATCCGGTGTTGTTACCCCAGTATTACCAACAAATCGTCTCACAACCTTAACATAAAATTTTAGAAAAATTTTACTACTTAGTAATGAAAATTCTAAAAGAATAATTTCAGTAATGTTGAGATACTTAGACTATTTTTAAGAAAAGATCACATGGTTACAATCATTCTGTTGGTTAAATAATTTAAAAACGAAAAGGTTTTCGATTATACAAACCCTGACAAAAAGACCCACTTAATTGCAAAATTGAAACTGTCATTTGTATACACAATATTCAGTTAAGGCAATACGAATTATCAAGTGAAAAATTTTAATGAGAAGTGGAAAACATGAAACCACAAGTGATCATTCATTTCTGTGTATTACATCAGTCAATTAGTCTCAACGTAGAACCTGGCACATGTGTACATCGGTCCAAGTTGCAACATTCTGTCAACACAGAGAGAAATTGCGTTAATTCGTCAACCCCGATCACGACGTTTTCACCTTGCAAGGCTGAGTCCAAAAGAGAGTAATTCTATGGACTAGTGCGTTTATTTTGACCACTACTAACAGATTTTTTTCAACTAAATTCTATAACTTTTATCCGGGTACATGGTAATCAGGCATACGTAAAGAACGTCACAACAATTCCATTCAATCCAGATTGACTACGTCATCGATCGATTTTCCTTCTTTACTCAGTCTCTACTTTCGAACCCAAACACTTCCTGATTGTTGGTCCCAAAATACACGAGCAATGCATAGTGTATCACTAAGCAGTATCTAAACCCTATTCTTGACAGTCGGATATCAAATATACGCCACAAGTGACACGAATTGGCAAAAAACAATCGGGCTCTTTGAACTGGTGACGAGATTTCATCAGACCCAGATCTACGAGGACTGATGAGACTCCTAAGATAAGTTAAACGGTCGGTGAACCCGACCGCCGATCCAACCCAATCCTGAAACAACATTTTGCATTTGACGAGAGAGAACCACATCCACGCCCATGTCTAAAACGAGCCTAGTTTACTCAGGTTTGCTCTTCACGAGTTCTAGTTAGACATCAAATTATTATTAGACTAACATTTTAGATATGTTATCAAAATTCCGTGGTTATCGTGAGGACCTCTGTCCTTTCTTATACACTTGAACAGAGTGATCGAGATCAGTCAGATGGGATTACGTTCATTTCCCAGATTTTAGCTAAGGTTTCAATCAATCTAGCTACCAAAACTGGTTCACCATCCTTTAAATTCTCAGGGGTTAGTATATTAAGTTCTGCTGCTCTTCCTCGCTTTAGATCACTTATAGCCCTTTTCGACCTCGCTAAGAGTTGTAGGACTGACATCAGTTTGCCATTTAAGTGGCTTGGAGATCGTGATTAGCTGAAGGCCAGTTGCATTGTCCTTTGAAGTGTTCGGCCCACCAGTTCAGTCTCCTGGGTTCAAACTGAGTGATGGTCCCACCTTTTTCCAAGTTAGTTTCACTGACAGCCATATTGTTAATACCCGTTTCCTTGATAATTCTGAACAGATGTTTATCGAAACCTATCTCATGTGTCTTTTCTTTCTCTTCTGCCATCGCTACACACCACTGCCAACGATCATTACATAAGCTTTTGATCAACATACATTTAGGTCGCTTCTTCTCCTCATCGTGTTCTGAGCCAGACAGAATTAATTTCTGAGTTGTTATCAGTTATGTAAACGTCACTGAAATACACTGAGTTTTCCTAATCTTCTCTTTTAAGTTACTAGTAGATATAATTGTTGTTTCCACAGCTTCTTGGGTAACATAGCAAGCTACCTCGGGGTGAATATCATTTCCACAGTAGACTGGCTCTTTCTTTAGTTGTTTTTGAACCATTTTCTTGACTTTTTCATCATTAAGTTGGACTATAAGAGGTTTTCTTGATGTGACTTTTCTACATCCAGTAAGATGCAGACAAATACGTGTTTTGACTCGAGCATGATCCAAGTCCAATAAAGTGTTTCAGAATGATCGAGAATATCCTATGGAGATTTACATTGATGGCTCTGGCAATGAAGTCTATTTGAGTTCACCGTTGAGTCGATCGTGGGGTTCGCTATGTCAGAAGGTATTTCTCTTTATGTTTGCGTTGATCAGAAATAGACGGTTACATGGGCATAGTTGTAACAGACAGCTGTCATTATCTGTTTGCTAAACCGCAACATCGTAGGATCTTCCTAATTGTCTTGGCTAGGCTTAGTATGCCTACTGGAGCACTGAGATCACCTGCCACTATTGCTACATCGGAGTGTCTAGTTTTTTTAAAAGGTTGGAAATCTCTCTATAAAATTGGTTTTTTAATTCATTGAAGCTGCAACCAGTGGGATTGTAAGCAGAGATGACAGTGTATGTTCCTATCTTTTCGAGTTCTTACCGCTTCATTTTGTCAGATAGTTCACAATCAATTATCTATTTGAATCCAGTCAGGCACTGTCAGTTCTGCCTTTGAACTTTATGCTACACTTACACCAATGAAGTCATGAGAAGTAGAAGTGTGGTCTCCGCACCTTTACGATATTCATGTATTCTTTTACATAAGTATGACACTTAAATAATACACTCACTCCTCATGTGGGGTATCATTAAACGCACGACCATTTTTGTATTTTTTAAAATTAATTTTTCATCCTATTTTCCAATATTTTTCATTCCGTTTCGTCCAATTAAATGACTAGTTTTAAGTTCTTTATAACTGGTCATTTATTTCACAAAATTGATATAAAATGTCAGAACTTGACGACAGAGCACTTTTTCTTCAAATTATGGACGACAGTAACGTACAAAGTAAAACTGCCGTTTCTCACGTTGTCACATAAACGGACAATGTATTCTTGAATCCAATGTATCTCGTAGCGTTCCAATCACTTGAAGCGTCAAATAGCGCCATTCGACCTTACGAAAGAGCTACGTACTGCCATCATGCGGTGAGAAATTCTCATTTCTATAGGGATCAGAAGCTGTATATTAAATTTATGTCACCTTTTTTAATGCAAGACTAAACAACTCTTTTGTATTAAGAATTACTACTTGCGAAATAACTCAATCATAGATAATACTTCCTTGTTTCTGGAAAATCATTACTATTTTGAGATAGAGTAAATGTTGCTTCATTTACCGATACTTTATGGTTAGCGTGATTTATACATGGCCTATTCATTACTTTATAATGATGATTTATTCATATGTTTACAAACTCATATAACGATTATTACAAGACCAAACTATATGTTAAAATAACGTATGAAAATTAGTTTACTACTTGTGTATTAAACATTGGACTACCTTTCAACTTCAGTAAATCATTATTATTAACTATCAAAAACCGTTATCAGTTTTCCCGAATTTTCTTTTAATGGTATACATATAATTTCTCTTGTCACGATAACTAACGATTTCAGTTTCATTTCTACTTGATCGACAAAAAATTTATCGTGATATACATTCACTGACAAGAGTATAGCAGGGTAGTGAAATGGAGTCGGTGTCATTTCTTCCAAAAGTTAAAATGTTTTTTAATTAAAACTTTGATAGCACAATCAGACATAATTATTTATTCTAAATAAAATTCAAATGTAAAAATGCAAATTCTCACATCTAATCGCAGTACTTGATGCTCTTTCGATTTGAACTAATCGGATTACAAAGATGCACACTTTACAGCTAATTAAAAAATTATTACAGATGACAAAGGTTTTGTTCATTATCACTTGAGCACATACCTTCAAAAACAAGTTCACCAATCACCAATTTCTAAATTTTTTAATCACACCCTAAAATTTCTAATCGATGGGTGGTAGGAAATCACAGCGGCCGTGTAATCAATGTCAAACCCTCATGTGACACTGTAATTTATCGAGTGTAGCAAAACTTTTTTCCGCTAGTTATTGCTAACGTTAACCACATACCATTTCAGTGTTATTTTCGAAAACAGACATTTTTCACATTTATGCTATTTTCTAGGTCAGTGAGTGTACAAAATATACCCAATCAGAAATCCATTCTCGTATTTGACTTATTCAATTCCGTTATTGACTAACGCGATTGAAGTCGATGATCGTATAAGAGGACTGGCGATATGTATATCTCAATAGCAATCAGAAACGATCTCATTGGAGTCAGATCCTGGGCCACTAGACAGTTGTTTTTTTCAGGCTCCTCATATCATGGAAGGGTACTTCTCTAAAGACCTAAAGAGGGAACTGGACTATTGGTGGTTTTAGTGACCTGGGAGCGTGACTGAAGAGCTCAGAGGGAAACTGCCTGAGGCCTGTTACTTACGGCCACTTTATGGGAAGTGTTTGATGTGTTAGTGCCGTACGTCAAAAGGCCTTATGGTCGGAGACTGAAGTCTATGGGGTAAGGTGAAATGTGGCAATTTAGGGATGATATTTTCTAACCCTATTCTTAAGAAAGCAGCAAAAATGGTTGTCAGAGGAATACACCATAATTTCGTCACACTCCCCTACAGTCAGCAGTACGACTTTGCCCTCAGACATTAAGTTGCTACTTTTAGTCTCATCGTTCTCCAATCGACTGCCTGGCAAGGTAAAACCCAAACAAACATGTGTTTCAACCAATATAGCTCGGCTAAACCACTACAACAGGCAAACCCGACCACTACGTCAAGGTAGCAGCTACAACCGAGGATTCATCCGATACCCTTAATAACCCTATGAATTAGTGTAGGGTAAATGGAGAGTTAATTGAAACAATTTTAAAGATATATCATTGCAAACGAACAAAAACAAACCAAAAAATTATTTTCACCGGATAAAACTGATGGAAGAACTAGCAGATCTAATAAAGCTAGAACTACCTGGTCACTTATTGATTATAGGGATTAAGTAATCCGTGGATTTAAGAAATATACTATCTAAAAGCATAGAAAAAACGCCTTAGATCGAACAGATTAGAACCTTTATAAATTAAACTTTTTTAATCTTATATATTTGTACCTGTTTTTCCTTTTATTTTTCATACAATTGAAAATATAGTTAGAAATTGTTAGACATAATCAAGGAAAACTTACTAAATGTAGTTGATTACCAGCTTGTCTTAGTGTTTTCACTGCTTCCATATTTGTAGCATGCTCTAGACTGATGCCATTGACACTAAGGATTTGATCATCAACCCTTAAAAAAAGAACCAATGCGTGAAAAATGACTCAAGGTTTATTTAAAGGTTTAGTATGAGTCAAGTAAAAGTACCCTACATGATCACGACAACTTATCAAATCTGTAAATCGCTCTTTGAGTTCATTGTTTAATCATCCGCCTTTTTGTATCACACTATACTACGTATACTTCATCAGTAGTTCGAGTATATTTATTTATATACATATTCATTTGTCGTAACACATCCTTTTTTGTTCTTATTTCAATGACTTAGTTGAATCATGTACCAGTAACGAAATTTTCACTCCTTTCATCTTTTAGATTTTCTATTATCACATTACTCTTGAGAACTTAACAGATTTTTGGTGATTTACTAATTTTTGTGATACTTATTTACACCTGTTGCCTCTCGTGGAGGAACATAAACAATCCACCACCATTCTCCACCCAATGCTTTCCTGAGTAATCCCTTCAGGTTGCTATTCATCCTTTTCATATCTGCTCCCAATTTTCGGTGCAGTATGTTCTTTGGACTTCCTCTTTTCCGTTTCCCTCCAGGATTCCAAGTTAGCGCTTACCTGGTGATGCAGTTTAATGATTTCCTCAGTGTGTCCTATCCACTTCCAGCGTCTTTTTTGTGATAGGATTGTAATAAGTTTCAGTTTAATTTTGTTATTAACTGGTGCTTTTTCTGTTGAAGTATTGCCTGGTGTTGATTTTTGATTTCAATACATGTAAATTTATTCTTGTTCATCAGTGTGTAGCACGCTTCTTCTCTATAACTGTACTTTAAATGGGATAATTGGTACTTAAACACCTCACCATTGAATTTTGCCAAATTTATAGTTTTAACGTTGATTTCTGATGATAGTATGGGACTTTGAGATAACTTTCGCCTTCTGGCTTTGTAAGCTTTACGTGTGATTTGTTTGATAAATTCTAATCCTAGAACGAATTCTATCAGTGCGGTATCACAAACTCAAAAGTATCCAGTCATATAAAAAAGCCTCCGGTTACTTATGCTGATGTTAATATATACAGGAAAGAATTTCCAAAAACTGTAGAACATACATTTTCCACCCTTGTTCACCACGATGAATTCCCGTACAAGGAAAGTATACATTTAATCTAAGAAGTTTCCACAGAATTTATTGGGAAATGAGTGGTCTTAACAAATTTTAAAAGTAATTTATGCGGCAATAAGAATTATATTATCATATTCTTTAGTATTCGCTAAACCTGTACAAAAATTTCATTACTTATTTACGCCTGTTTTACCCTCGTGGAGGAGCATAGGCTGCTCACCAGGATTCTCCATCGAACGAAAATTATATTAAGATTATTCTAAATATTACGACAAATAAGAAGTTGATTTTTTATCTAATAAGTGTTGATGACCTTTACTAAACTCTATGGTAACTCCTAAACTATTAAAATTTAAATACAACGAACATGAATGAACTTAATCCAATGAATAGTTCAGCAAGACGACTATTCTATCCTGTTACGAAAATTCGACTTTAAATACGGTTGACGTTTATCTCAAATCTTTACAGTGACTTCCAAATGTCCAAATGTCTACTATTTTGTAAGTATCCATATCTTCAAGTAGTCACTTTATCATCGATGAACGATAAAAGGCGATCAAATTGGAGCTACTAGGTTTAAAGCAATAAAAATTTCACAATGAAAGAAGATGACACAATTTCAAATTAATCGGATGAACAAATTTAACAGTGCTATCACAGAGAGCTAAGTTACAAATGATAATCTGGAAATCAATATGCTGAAGTGTACCAATTGTTGTAAAAACAAATCTTATCTCTGAAGAAAAAGATTCGAACAGCATGGTGTAATGTCAAATATATGTGGCTAAAATTTTATGATTTTTTAATCAGTACAATCTGAACGAAGAAATATTTCTTTCCAGTTAGCTAATATACAGTTTTATATATGAATGTGAAATCAATATTAATTAAGGTTTGTGAGTAAATTAATATAATAATAATAGTAACAATAAAAACAGAACAGGATGCAAACAGTTTGGTTACTGAAACTAATTACATAGGTATGAAAATGAAAAAAAGTTCCAAGGGTTAGCTTAGGTTTGGAATCAGTAAATTACCTGTACTGATTATATAAGAATAAAAACTAAATGCCCCATACACCGAAGGAGTTGCATTGATGCTATCAAAACCAGCACTGGATATGAAGACATCATCGGACGACACGGACTGGGAGAAAGGAACGAAAGTGGTGAGAGATTTGCAAACCTATGTGTTTTCAATAAACTGGTCATAGGAGGCACTATATTCTCACATAAACGAATACACAAAACCAAATGGACTTGACCGGATCACACTACGCAAAACCAAATCGACCATTTCTGCATCAACAAAAAGTTTAGGAGGACGATGGAGGATGTGAGAAACAAGAGAGGAGCTGATATAGCATCAGATCATCACTTGCTGGTCGCCAAGATGAAATTGAAACTCAAGAAGCACTAGACAACGCAGTGGACAATATCACAAAAGTTCAATACGGCCTTTTTTCGGGATACTGACAAACTCAACGAATTCAAGATAGTCCTCAGCAATAGATTCCAGGCATTTCATGATCTACTCAGTGGAGAGGGAACTGCTATGGAGAGCAACTAGAAATGGATAAAAGAAGCAATCACTTCAACGTGTCATGACAGTCTGGGCCACAAGGAGCACCATCACAAGGAATGAATCACTGTTGAAAAACTGGATAAGATTCAAGAAAGGAGGAACAAGAATCCGGCGATCAATACCAGCCGAACAAGAACACAGAAAGCAAAGGCACAAGCTGAATACACAGAAGTAAACAAGTAGGTGAAGAGGAGTATCAGAACCAACAAACGTAAATATGTGGAGGATTTGGCAATGACGGCGGAAAAAACTGCAAGAAAGGGAGACATGAGACAATTATAAGATACAACAAAGAAGCTCGCTGAAGAGGCTCATTGAAGAACAGTAAAACAGGTGGGTAGAACACTTCAAAGAACTCCTGAATTGACTAGCTCCACCGAACCCACCCAACATCGAAGTAGCACCCACCGACCTCATAATCGATATTGGTCCACCAACAATTGAAGAGATTGGAAGACCGTAATGATGATTTCGTTCTTACTAAAAACTATAAATAACTGACAATTTCGTACTATGATTGACACTGTTTGGAATAATATTCCTCTCATTAGTCTTCTATCTTCTTATTGTGACTTGGAAGGGTTTTGGTGTTTTAGTGTTCTGTTATATGCGGTAAATCAAGAAATCAACATTCAAGATATATCAGCACCCAACTGCGTCACAAGCCGTCGCATGGAATCCTCAAGGCCGATGAGAAAGAGGGAGACCAAAGAACAAATTACGGCGAGAAATGGAGACAGACATGAGAAGAATGAACAAGAATTGGATAGAACTGGAAAGGAAGGCTGAGGACAGAGTGAGTTGGAGATTGCTGGTCGTCGGCCTATGCTCCCTTGGGAGTAACAGGCATGAGTAAGTAAGTAAGTTTCTGAAATTAATTGCAATCAAAATAACTATGAAGGAAACAAATAAGTGTAACTGAAAGTTTGAATTAATAGTTTTTCAATTATTGAAAACAATCACACAGAAAAAAGGATAAGCTTGAAGTTGCTTAGATTTTATGAGAAGGAGGATATTACAAAATTATTGTGTGCAACGTTTATGCTCATTCAGGTGAATTCCTATGTCTTCCACTGTATGTGGGTGCTAATATTCGGAAAATTACAGTATTCTTTCCTCTTATTTTTATTAAAAAGCAGAGAGCAGTGTAATTACGATCGATAGTCAGCGGAAAACATATCAATTGCTATTACATTTGTAGTAAAGGATATAAGAAGTTATTTATCGAAACAAAGCTGAAACATATTGTGTGCATTTCTTAAAGAAAGGAATCACATTTTTTAAAATTACAACGCTTTTTACCTAGTCAATACCTTATGACAAAACTATTATGCTACTAAAAGACTTAATAAATCTAGAAAAAATACCTATGGAAAATAAAATTATTTTACCTTAGTTTACCATCTCGATCCGCGCATCCATTGGGAGCTATTCTCGTGACATAAATCCCATGATCCAAGTCGGTAATAGGATTATCAATTCCTCCGGCAATACTAAAACCAAATCCACCTACTGCGGCTGAATCACGTTTAAGTATAATATCCAGATATTCCCATTCCCCTTTCATTGAAACACGATCTACGAATACATAGTAAAAGTAAGAGATTGATTCTCACCACATAAAAAGTACAGTTTTCACGAGGATACACAGACCAGACACTTTGGAATTATGTACACAGTGGTAACCATTTGGTCAATAAACTGTGCTAAGTCACTACGACGATTCACACTTTTGAGCGATGGATAGGCCACCATGTACGTTGACACAAAAAATAATCAAAAGCATACACCGTTTGGCTTAAAAACTAGGTTTAAACGCTTAGCTACGTTTATTCTTTAGCTCTTTTTACCAACTATTTAAATAGGTCAATGTAATTATACATCAAGAGAATATTGCAACATTTAACAGATGACATGGTAAGTAGTAAGTTTTTACTGAAAAACGAAATCTGATCATTGTTTATTTATGTGAATATGTTTAGACGTAAGCGCTGATTCAATCAGAATTTTGAGGGGCTCAGTTGTATTTCCACACTTATTTTGTTCAAGAATTATCTTCAATGTCTACTAGAAGTCAGTTTTACGAAACTTTCAACAACTGTTTCAAGTCGATGATGTTTCGAAATCTTATTATCCATCACATCTTAAGCAAATAATGAAATACGAATGGTTTACTTTCTGATTTCGATATGGTTTGAATAAAATTTAGTTGAAAGTTAATTATAAAAGAGAATTGGAACTTTTCCTTACAAATATTTACGTGGCTTATTGGTCGTTAGGATGAAATGTTTAGAAAAGACAAGTACAATACTGTGTAGTATATGATAACCAAAAAAGATCATCAAGAAACCCTTTAACATAGTTTTATTCTTATTGACATACAATAAAAAAGTATTTTCATAATTAAGTGGGAGTGAATCTATCTCTAAAACTTTAATCAGAAATAAAACGGTTGAAGTGTTTGAGCAAAGTTTAAGGACATAAATGGATATGTAAAAAAGTATAGGTTTATTCAGGTCTAAAAATCTACTGCACTCTGGTAGTTATCAGTGTACCTAGAACTTTGATTCCTGATTTCATTGAAGATTATCTCCAACAATATAATACTGAATCCCATGTACATCTATTACATGCTATTTATATGATGATAAAATGTATATATTTTAAGTAAAAATTTTTAATTAGTATTCTGAACTGAAGCTTGAAATTAATTCGTAACAAGTAAAAGAGATTTTCAAGGATCAACATAAACAACTTGTGTGCGATGATACTGGTTTCGATATTTCAATATTAAGTGAGATCAGTAGACTTTGACAACTTAAATCTTACTTTGAATTGAGAAGCAATATAAAGGTAAGTTTCAAATAAAGATAGAACACGAAGGTTTCTGGGAAGTGGACCGACTTCAAATTACAAGAAAAATCCTTTTAGTTTTCATTCAATTGACGAAAGTAATATGGTTGCGGTAGATTAGAAAAATTCTATTTTTTTAATTGCTGAACTACTGTTCATTAACTATATTTTATAAATAATAAACATTTTGACGTCATCTTGACATATGTACTGATTACATTTTGAATCAAAGGCCATGCCTTGTAAAAGTCTTTATGTTTAGTATTTCCACAATTTACCAATAACATTCGTGTCCGAGATTATAGTTATGCGACGATATAAATTTTGAAGCATTATTATGTTTCACAAATAAATGAAGACCGTAAATACATGGTCAAATACGACGATTATTTTGTTCAATACGATGGAATTCACAGTTGATACTCTCTATGGATTTTTGCGAACTCAGTTTAGTTGCTAATTATAAAGGATCCTTAGTTTTTTATAAACTATTTTCCAGTAATTTAACCGGTTAGTAAATAACATTCATTTCACACTTTTATTATTTAAAATAGACTGCAAACGAGACGTTATTTGGTCACTAAGAAATTTGGGGGCTCCATACCTGGCCACTTGGAGGCCTAAAATACTACAAATACCCCCAAAAGACCTTGGTATGGTCGAGAGTGGGGTGTGTCCACCCCCCTTCTCGAAATGCTCTCACACGGCCACGCGTATACAGCCTCTGCCAGAGAAGTCCTACTCACTGCCTTCTCGTGGCATTACTGTTGTTTACGAAAATGAGAGGACGAAAAGCGAATATCCGGCGCTCTAACCGGATCCCAAACCAATGGTGCACATGGACTCCAGTATCCTGAGGGAACAAATGGCGTATGAACCAATCGTTGGTCACCGGCTACCATGGGACTGCGTCTCCTCACAATGCTCCACTGCCTTGTGGGTCAGACCTTTAGGTCAAAGGCTCGGGGTGTGGCCTAATAAGAAAACCACCTGCTTCGGTCTGGGCACCCGGACAGTATCACAACCCACACACAAATAAAATGAAAATGACGATATTTACTAAAAATTCTATTCGCGCTTCGATTAACAGTCAAACAATTCACATTATTATTATTATTATTATTATTATTATTATTATTATTATTATTATTATTATTATTATTACTACTACTACTACTACTATTTACCACGTCACTTATTCACTCTCTTTTATTCCTACTTTGTGTATCCATATTTTTCGATTTATACAGCCGCTCACTTAGGGTGGAAACCCGGTTCTATCTAAACGTTCTCGAGTCACTGCCTGGTCGAAAATTGTATGCTACCACCGAATACGAATACTGAAGCAGTTTTTCTAAAACCACGTGCACCATTCAAACTGGCTGCCTTCAACGTTCGCACACTTATGCAAGTCGGACAACAGATAGGTCTGGCTATGTCATTGGAAAGTCTTAATATCGACGTTTGTTGTCTATCCGAGACCCGTATTCAGGACTCTGGTGAAGTACTACAAATTCGCTCTCCATCTGTCGCTTCAAAAAGCTTGTTTTACGTGCGTTTATCCGGAGACCATGTGGCATCTTCATCTGGTCTTGCTGGCGTTGGTGTAACAATGAGCGCTAGAGCTGAGGCAGCACTAATCGATTGGATCCCCACTAACAGTCAGTTATGTGCTGTTAGGTTAGAAAGTTCCATCAAAGTGAAAAGAGATCGGCGTGAGAAACGATGACTTTTTGTCATCTCCACCTATGCCCCGACAGATTGCAGCCCAGCTGCAATCAAATATGAATTCTACCACCAGTTAACTGTTCTTCTCCAGAAAGTGCGTTCGACAGATATTGTAGTACTAGCCGGAGACTTGAATGCTCAGGTCGAGCGTTTAGGCACAGAGAAGAGTCGTTTAGGTGGCCGATGGGGACTTGTTGGTCGCAGGACAGATAACGGGGACCGTCTACTGCAACTGTGCACAGACCACAACCTGTTTCTGGTTAGCACTAACTTTCGGCACAGTCATCGCCGATGTGACGGGATGCCAATCACTTACATCCATCGACGTCTTGGACGATGGACAGAATTCTTCGAAGGATAGTTCAACTGGTCTGCTGCTCGGGCAACATCGGTCAGACTGTCCTGTCCTCCATGTCCGGTGACGATTGATCTACCAAAAGAGGAGAAAATCCGCAAGGAACTCCAACTCTTGAAGCGCTACAAATCACCGAACCTAGATGACTTACCTCTGTCTTTTTTTAAAGATGGTGGTGACATTCTGACTAAGGAACTGACGACGTTGTTTACAAAGGTCTGGGAGCTAGAAAGTGTACCAACGTCATGGAATGAGTCGATAGTTGTCCCTATCATTAAAAACGGTTCACGTCGTTCCTGTTACAACTATCTGGGGATCAGTCTACTTCTGATTGCGTCCAAGCTATTGGCTCCCGTCATGCTTCGTAGGTTGTTCAAAACCCGGGAAAGATTGACTCGCGAGGAGCAGGATGGGTTTCGTTCTGGTCGAGGATGTATTGATCATATCTTCACCCTCCGCCAAATGTTAGAACATCGCCATACTTATCAAAGGCCAACAATCGTAGTGTTTCTTGACATCAGGGCTGCCTTCGATTCGTTGAATAGGACTGTTCTCTGGGATTGTCTATTGAAGAAGGGTGTGCCTGAGAAGTTTATTAACATCCTAAAAGCCCTATATAAAAACACCTCAGGCAGAGTGAGGGCATACAACCACCTCTCTCCATTGTTCCATTCGAGTAGTGGGGTTAGGAAGGGTTGCTCTATCTCACCATTCCTCTTCAACTTTGCCATCGATGGCATTCAGGAAACAACTCTGATGGTTGTAAGTAGTGGCGGTGTGGATCTGTTGCCTGGAGAAAGACTTCTCCACCTTGAGTATGCGGACGATATTGTCTTACTGTGCGATAATACTCAAGCCATACAATTCGCACTTAATCAGTTGGCAATCAGTGTTCGTAGGTATGGTATGTGCTTTGCTCTTTCGAAGTGCAAAGTATTTCTAGAAGTACTTCTACAGGATTCTAAACCTGTACTCACCCTGGATGGTGAGCACATAAAAATAGTCGAGAAGTTCGTGTATCTAGGTAGCTGCATAAGTAATGGTGGTGGCGTGAGTGATGAGATCAGTGCACGTATAGTGAAAGCCAGAGCAGCTTATGCCAATCTGGGCCATCTTTGGCGCTTTCGTGATGTTAGTCTAGCTGTAAAAGGTCGGATCTACAACGCGTCGGTGAGAGCAGTTTTGCTCTATGCTTGTGAAACCTGGCCTCTTCGAGTTGAGGATGTTAGACGACTCTTTGTGTTCGATCATCGTTGTCTCCGAAGGATTGCTGACGTCCAGTGACAACACCATGTCAATAATGCAGAGATTCGGCATTGTGTGTTCGGGAGCAGAGACGATAATCCAATTGATGTCACCATCTTGAAACACTGACTTCGATGGCTTGGACATGTTCTACGAATATTGTCCCAGAGAATTCCACGTCGTGCATTATTCGCCGACTCTGAGACTGGTTAGAAAAAGCGGAGAAGTGGTTAGTGTATGACATGGTGTCGTGTCATGAAAGAAATCTGCAAAAGGCTGACTTCTGTTTGTCCTTCTTGACTCCTTTGCTGGGGTCCGAGAGATGGTGCAACACAATGGTTAGAGACGTTATCAGATATGGCTCACAATAGAAGCCAGTGGCGATCCTGATATAATTTTCTTTTACTTTCTTCATAAAAAGTGGATGTAACGTCCTTAACTGAAAGATTTCTTCTTGTTGTATTTTTCCGCTTCCCTCATTATCACTATTATTATTATTACACTACCTTACGCTAATCTGTTCGTTATTGTTCTTTTTTATGCTCCTCACCTTTTTCTTCGAATTCTCATTGTTTTGTGTGGCGCATATATATTTGGTGCCCTCTTGTACCAATATTTATGTGTTCAAATAATAATAATAATAATAAAATACAAAGAAATTGAAATTTTCTACGTCCAAATGTATAAGAATGAATTAAGCCTAATTTTCGAAGTTAAGCTGTAGAAAATGTAACTCACTCTGATATATTACCAAATACATGAGTGTCGTTAATAACATCGAATAATTCTTGATACAGCTCTTGCAAAAGTAACCAATTCTAATCCTAAACTTTGTCGAGAAATCCAATGTTTCATATCACATTTGAACGTTATAAGTATCAAGAATGTCTTAGGTCATATGATCGATACTATGTGATATTATTACCAGTTATCTTTAAAATAACAAACGACGTGGGACAGACAAACAAGTATTGATTTTTATTGTGCAGTACTATAGAACAAATATCTGTTTAGTTCAGTAACAATCCGTAAGCATTTTACCGATCAGACAGTAGATTCAGTAGTAAATGCTTTTAGGTAGCAGGGTTTATCAGCCACTTGATATAAATCTCATATCGTCTCATCAAACACGTGATGAATAGTTTTATTGATTGAAACTTTTAACTGCAGAACTAAGCAAAAATAATAAATTTTAATTTACTGTTTAATTAGTGTGAATATAGAGATATTTATGCACTTAAACTTGAACTTTAAAGACGAAAGAAATTTTTATATAAAGGACAGCAGTGAAACCGTCTAAATTATTTCTACGTTGTTTAATCAGCAATAGGACACAATAAACTCAGAAGTAAAAGAATACTGGAAGCTTTTTTGTCGCATATATTCACCGGTCCAAGTTGCTATATCTCATTAGCATAACAAGGTGAAGACCAAATTTGTAGAAGCAGTTACTTCAATGATAGTCATACGTAAAAACGAGTGCATATAAGGATGAAAACCTTTTAAAGAAAAAGTTACTTTTCAACTTGTCTGTGAAACAGATATATGAAAAGCATCAGTTACTGAATAGAAGAGTTTTGGGTTTGAAGGGAGGTCAACTTCACAAACATAATCAAGCGTTTATGTTCAGTAGTGAGCAATATACAATAGGATCGTAGCTAATGTTCAGTTAGTATAACTTGTCTTTTGTCTTCTAACTGTTATGTAGTGATATCATCCTTTGATTTTGTAATCATAATCCCCAATTTATTTTCTAAGCACTTTCGTAAACGTGAAAATCTAAGACAAGATTCCACTTTTTTCATTAGAAAATTAGTAAATATGACCTGAACATCTAGAAACCTCTGAAGTTTGGCATATATGACGCTTGCAAAAGATCCATATGCTAAAAGGGTTCTCATAAGTGCAGTTTACCATACCAGTTACTATGAATTTAAATTATTTATTTGTGAGACAGATTGTATTAGTTTTTGAAAAACGTTTTTAATCTGTCTCTAGCTTCACTAACCTACCAGGGCTCAGAGGCTTTGGCAGTGACTGATTACCAGAAGAAATATTTGATCCACTGTGATAAACATTCTGGAAAACAAGATATAAAGTTAAGAACATCAAGTAACAGGTAAACAGAAACACCGTCAATTACTGATTTTTCTTAGGATAGAATCATCTTGGTAGTTCATTGTTAATCGAAAAATAACAGTTCTTATATACATTGATTTGAAATTCATGCGTTGAACTACTTAAATTAAGTGAAGGTCAGGCTTTAATAAAATAGGCAGACTTCTATTCACTAAAGATGAGTATTTTAGAAAAGATCGTATGTCACTAAGGTTTTTATATGTGGTCTATAGATTCCCTACAACTCGCTTAATATTCTGACGATTGCTATTGGGAATTATAAATCAATTATCTTTTATAAATGTGGGCCAAAAGCTAGGAAAAACACTTTTCCTTGCCATTTTTATGTTTAATTTTCTCCACATCCAGGCTTTTGTTAATGAAAACGAATACGGTAATATTAACAAACCATCCTGTGTTAAAAATTGAAACTTGATCACATCTGTCTATCCTTTATAGGCGTGTTTACTTATTCGTGTTAAAGCATACAGTGAGCTCATGTTTCACTTAATTATTGTAAAATCATAATTTTACCAAAGAATAAATAACATCAAAGCTAAAATATGCACAAATATTTAAGCAGAAGGGGTTTGTGGAGATTTTAGAAATTTCACAGATTGAAATCATGAGTCAGTTGAAGCTAGACCACCATGGAAAACCCGGAAGCACTGGATGGCCTTTTCGTCCTAGTATGGGACCCCTCAGCATTGCGCATCCACGATCCCGCACCCCGAGGGATCTTCAGATCACTGAAGACAATGGTATACGTTGGTTCAACTCCGTGGATTGGTTTAAGTTAGACATTAACACCGTTGGATGTCGGCTCAGTGGTCTAATGGTTAAGTGCTCGCGCGCGAAACCAGTAGGCCGTGGGTTCGAATACCGCGGGGTGCGGGATCGTGGATGCGCAATGCTGAAGAGTCCCATACTAGAACGAAACGGCCATCCAGTGCTTCCGGGTTTTCCATGGTGGTCTAGCTTCAACTGACTCATGATTTCAATCTGTGAAATTTCTAAAATCTCCACAAACCACTTCTGCGTAAATATTCCTTAGTAGATAATTATTAAAACTTTCGCCACATTTGTTTATGTATTGACTAAGGCTAAGATTAAAAAGGAATGATTTAGATAGAGCTTTTATAATGGACAACAAATTAAATCACTCAAGATACATTTTTATTTAGCCAAAAAATGCAAAAAGTCAACTTTTTTGGACAAAATTAACAATAAAGTGCTTTAAACTTGGGAACTTATTAAAGATGAAATTAAAGTTAACGCTTGGGGTCGAAATGGTATATTATAGCAAGAGAAACATTTATACTTTCGTCACTGGCGTACAGGCTTTAAGTTTAGTCTAAATTTTCTATAGAGGTGGATATATGAAACTTTAGGAGGATTTCAAAGATCTTATATTTATCCCTAAATTAAAAAATATATTCATGATGCATCGTTTGAATCAATCTATTATCTAAGCTGAAATACATCTTGACTTGAGGAAATCTGCTCTCACAAATCACGTATTTCTTAGATTGCAGGAAATTCAACGTATTGAGACGATTTCAAGCTATCTGCTGAAAACAACTGTTGAATTTTTAAAGACTCGTTTCCAAACCTCTGTTATTTCCAATATGTTCAAACGAATACCCTAGTCATATAAAATACTTAGTCCTACAACATATGAACATAATGTTAAGGTATGAAGGATGGCATTCATTTACAATATTTTAACTGAATACTTTGTCACCTAGCTGATGTTATTTGAAAATTGCAATAAGAGACCAACAGAAGTGTGACGGTTATTTCTATTCTTAGTTCGCGAATCGTTGTACACAAGCAAATGACTTCAACATGCTTTTCATGAGGAGTAAGGTTCTCAACATATTACATGTAAGTGCATTTACAGAGACGTAATCTAGAATTGCTTACAGATAAGGTGCTACAAAGATACACCCAACGTTTGCTTTATAAAATGATGCAAATTACCTAGAATTTGTTTATGAATTGCAGAGTCTGTTTCAAAATCCCCTAAAGATACAGCAACAAATAAGGTTAATTCGCATTTCATATTACACGAATACACTGGATTTTACCTAACTCAAGTCTCTAAACCACAAATAAAGATTATAAGTTTTCTTGTATTTTCACTTTTACGCCATTTAGTTACAGTAAGGTCCAGTGGATACAAAGTAGACAGACCTAAAGTAAATCACCTGAAAGACGAACACTAGCTTTGGAATTAACAATAAGGAGAATGATCGTTTTTCATCCTGATGCCAGGAAGTAGGAACATGGTGTAAAGAATACTATACTTTGTCAAGTATTGATAGTTGTGAGTGAAAATAAAACTGTTCACAGTTATAAGCGTTTACTTAATCGAAATAAGGAAGTTTTTCATCTAAAACGCAGTGGCTCTATACCCGGGTATAGAGCAAACAAAGATTATGAAAGCCACCTTTACTGGATGCATTCTACCTGAAACCCCAGATCATACTTCGCCTTTTGCATCTTCATAAGACAGAAGCTTATATATATATATATATATATATATATATATATATATATATATATATATATATATATATATATGACACGAAATATTTGGCAAGGCCTTGTTGGCCGGCCGTCTACTCAACATACAGGCTCAAACTAAAAAAAGCATTATTATAAAAATGTTAAGATCGGGTAATAACGTTCTTTAAACCAAACGTTAACGTAAAGTTTCTTCCCTATATCTATACGGTACATAAACAGGGTTACAAATACTCACAACTGAATCTGATGCTTGTTCACTAGTAAACTCTTTATTGTTTCCTGTTAAAGTAACTTCGTAAACCTCCAGAACATCTAGCAAAAACATTCAGAATAAGGAAACTTTACCCATTAGTGATGAAAATAACTGACTTTCCAATGTGTTTATTAATTTATCAACGGCGTTTCGAAAAGACTTGTCGGTTTTTTCATCTAACTGACGTTTGTATTTCGTTAAGATATGAAGAGCACGACTACAATCTGAGGCATAAATGAGAAACAAACGAATCCTAATGACACTACCTTTCCGGACCGGCATTTTAACCTTCCTCGGTATATAGTCCAAACAACTAATCAGATAAATGATGCATACTAACAACTCAGTTTTCAACAGCGGAAATGAGAAAACTTCATACAGTGGTTTATATTCTTGTTTATGATTGAGAATATTTATACTTATGCCTGTATTCGTCTTAGTAGGTGGCTAATATTCTTTTTGTGAACTCTAAGTGGTTTCAAATGTTTCTGAACAGAATAGAAGAATCTTTTGCTTAACGGGCCAACGTATCTAGTACTAGTGGATTTCTAATGCTTCCATGTGAGAACCCAGATATATTATACGATAAAAGAGAACGAAATTAGTAGATTATAACGTGGTACTGTCCTTAGTCCCTTTGAATATGTCACGTTGTCTGTTAAATGACTCCTGGGTAGTCACCTGTACTACATCAGCCGTTGACGAAATCCAGAATTCAACTATTCGTGAAAAGTAGAAGGTATGCCTACAGCCCGTTTTGCTTTGTTCTGTCTCCACTTTCAAGGTGTTACCCCTAAGGCTTGTGTTGAGTCTAAGCTTAAGTAGGTGCTGTGGCGATAAATAAATGCTCGAAAACAGTAATTCCGTAAGTCTCCGACATTTGATCCTTACAGTATTGGTTTATGTGGACTCATCTAGCTGAAGGTGCTCGGTCACGCATCCACACCAGGTTACGAGTGGGTACACTGTGCTATGCATCTCCAACAACCGCTAGTAAGGTTAGAATAATCACTTTTCGAAGTGTCGATGGTCTATCACATATACCTTTGAATATTTTCGCTTCTGACTCCTGGTTTCATTGACTTGGTACATTACAATTATACGTGTTACTGGTTAAAACGTCAAACTCCGAGTACCTGTGGCAACTTTAGTGCTTAAGGGGATGTCTAGATGTGTTTGGGATTCTGTAAGTCATCCGAAGGTCAATTCTAAGACGTCTGTACTTCGATAGGTAAGGGTTCAGTGATTGGAGTCGCTCTTCACAAGGCTTGTATTTGAGTCCTCAAACTGATTTCATGGCTCCCTTTTAATGCACTATTGGAGTGAATGAGTAAACATTATATCTCCATATTCAAAATGAGTTAGAACAAAAGTGTTAAAGATTAGGTGGAACATCCTTACAAACTGGCCGAAAATGCACCACAACATTATCAGTAAAAGGTTTTCTCGAGAGGTATTTTTGCCGCAGTTAGCGTAAGACATCAGTTCATAGGGCACCAACACTCTCAGATCCATTTACAACTTGGGATTTCTTTAGAGGTGAGTCACTTAAGTTGTATTCATAGTCTGTGACATGTCTAGGATGGACAACTTTAAAATTTGAAATGCTGAAAGTAAGCCTTTTGTTGCCTCCTGAACTCGTAAGTCGAGTCAGGTCACTCGGAAGTACCGGCTTATCATCTTGGTCGCAAACTTCCTTCCAGAGATTCATATCATCAACGAAAAGTAATGAATCAGATGATTCCTGTTGTGAAATTTGTTTATATAAATTGAAAAAGAGGGGTTGGTGGATGTGAACTTCATGGGCTCTCATTAGTCTATTATATAGCCTGATAGAAGATTAGGTTAAACCTGACCTTAAAAATTCTATTATTTAGATGGGAAGTAAGTCCACCAATCGATGGTGTTTTGACACGTAATCGTTTGAGCTTATTGATAAGAGATATGTGATTGACCCCATCAAAAAGCTTTGG